CCCACCTGTTTTTCTTTTTTTTTTTTGTCCACATTGGGGTTTGAAGTCAGAGCCATACACTTGCTAGGCAAAAGATTTACCACTTGGACCACACCCCTAAGTCCTTATTTTTCAAACTGGGTGTAATGTGCATGCTTTGGCTGGCCTGGACGGAGACCCTCTGACTTATGCTTCCCTTACGGCAGGGATGACGGGTATGCTCCACTGTGCCCAGCTTTTAATCATTGGGATAGGTCTCACACACTTTTTGACTGGGCTGGCCTTGAACTGTGATCTTTTTGATCTGTGCCTCACAAGTAGTTAGCATTGTAGTGGAGCCTAGAAATGGTAGCTTCTTAAAGTAGAAAAGGTCTGGACATTTTTCCTATTGTTATTGCTTCTGTATAAAGGTGCTATGTCTGGATCTCGTTTGAGCATTCCCCCAAAGACTCATCTGCTGGAAACTTGGTTCTCAGATGGTGGTACTGGGAGGTGGTGGGATCTCTTAAGAGGTGGGGCCTAGCAAGAGCCAATTAGGTCACTGCGGGAATCGTGCATGAAAGAGATTAATGTAGTTCTTACTGAGCCCCAGCTAGTTCTCATGAGAGCAGGGTACAAAAAAAAAAAAAAAAAAAAAAAAAAAAAGAGCAAGCCTGAAGTCAGGCCTCTGACTCTCTCTGGATTCCTTCCTTGCTATGTGATTTCTTGATCCTGCATATGTTCTGGCCATGAGTCTGCCATGTGTGATTTGTGTGATGTAGCCAGAAGGCTACATGAGCCACCAGAGTCAAGTGGGTGCCTGTACCACACCATGCTACTGGACCTCTAGCCTTGTGAGTGAAATAAACTTCCTTTCTTTACAAATTATCCAGCCTCAGGTACTTTATTATAGCAATAGAAAATTAACTAAAAACAGATGATTTAGGTTTTTGAATACAGAACTTGTACTTTAAAAAGAGAGTTTATTTTCATGTCTTCTTTTCAATATTCTGAGATTTTTCTTTTTTTTTCTAAACACTGTGGCATTTATGTCTTTGATTGATTTCCTCTCCCTATCACACAGTGACCATAGTAGTTACTGAATTCCATTTTGATTAGTTTTCTAGAATATCAACAACTGAGTGTGATCTTTTGCTGAAACTACTGTTTTCTTAGAAATGAACAGGCAAGCAGGACTTACTTGATACCAGTAGATTTTCAGTCTATTTTACAGCTTCAACACATTTTTCTTCCTCTAGAAAACTGTGATTCTACCCGTTTTATCATTTGAGCCAAAAATTTCTTACCAGTTATTTGTCAGGGAGGAATTCCTCTCCCCCCTGCCCACTGACTTATTCTCTCTTTACACAAAAGCCTGAGCTGGTGGAGTAGTTCTAATAGTAAGAGCTCCTGTCTAGCAAGCATGAGGCCCTGAGTTCAAACCCCAGTATTGCTAAAAAATAGAAATTATTCAAGTAATTCTCATTCTCCTGTAACCTTTAAAGCTATCTGCTAGGGGTTTTAGTAGGTTCTGATTCATAATTTTTGAGTCCGTACTATCTGAGTGAAATCTGGGGTTTCTCTTCTGACACTTAGGGAAGCTAAATTTTGGCATATTCTTTGATCACTTGTTGGTAGCCCTGTAGATCCTATCAGAATTTCTGGTACCAAGTGCTTTGTCTTCAAAGAACTCTGTCCTCTCTTGATCTTGACTTGTTCTCAAAACCTACATCTAGGCCATTTTCCCAGTGGCTACCCCTCTACAGCTGAAAGGATCTGTTTTAGATCCAATCCACCTGGATTTTTCCCTTTGGTTAAATCTAGACAGCTCATGCTTGACTGGGATATCAGATACAACTTCATTCCAGTTGGTCTTTGCATGTAAACTGCCTTTTAAAAATGTGTTCACATTTTTGGACAGTTTTATTTGTCCTGCATTTTAGATACATGAATCTGAAGAAAGAAGACAGCAGCATGTATCACTTCCTTTATTCGTAACTCTTTATGCCAAACACTATGATTTTGCAAACAATGGGAATCTGAAAAATATTGCGATAGATAATTAAAATAAAACCTGAAGGATTTTATTCAATGGCAAGAATCTTTCTGAATGACACTATATGTAACAGAGCATATTAAACATTGTGAAGGATACTCTTTCAGTTTTGTAGTTTTGTTTCAGATTTAAATTCTGTAATCACTCTAGGAATAAGACACCTGTCATCTGGGCTTTGCTCAGAGTGTGCCCACGTCAAAGTCTTTGGAATATTTTGGTTTTAAAATGAGATTTCAAGGAACTATTTAATTACAAAGGGTTATTATTATCCCCTTTGCATTGCATCCAAGGTGTCAGTTTTTCATCTTTTTATTAACTTATGATCACATCACTCCTTTTCTCAATTATACATCAGCCAAAACACTTTAATTTGCAGAATGAGAGCTATTTGGTTTCAATAAAAATAATGATGAAAGCCAAAGCTTTGAAGAAGTTATACAAGGGTGTCTTTAAGTCAGCATTGTTTTCTTTTAGATTGGTTTTATGTAACAACTCAGCACTTCTGTCATTTTTGAGCCACCCTACAAATTTTACATTTGTTTAAATCACATGACCATTAATAGCAAAATTCTGAAGATTTTTTTTTAGTTGAAAAAATTTGAAACTGGTTAGTTTATTATATTTAGCCTATGTTTGTAAACAGACAATTTTTGCTGTCTGAATACTAGTATCATGGCTTTTCTGCAGTTTCCTTGGATTTGAACCCATGAAATGTTTACAGCATGAAGTTGAGTACTTGTTGATGTTTTCTTATTGCATCAATGAAATACATACTGTCATGTCAGTTCTTGCCAGGAATTTCTCAACAAAATGGAATTTTTTTTCAGAATTTCAATAAGTGGGGACATGCCCAGCTTGAGGTTTTTTTTTTTTTTTTTAAAAAAGAACCTTAGGCTTATTTTATTAAATCCAATTACTTCCTGTTGTTTTGTAGAATTTCCCACATTTTGTCATTTTAAGAAGTGCTTGTGAGTTCTTACCTTAATTTAAAATTTTTCAGTTATCTATTGGTGCATATCATTCCACCTCAAAATGCAGTGGTTTAAAACAACATTATTTCTGGAGAGGTGAAACGACTGCTACCAAGGCAATGCTAAGCACTTACCTTACATGAGTTTTCTGATATTTGCATATCATTCCTAGTGCTATTATCTTGCTCTTTGTATTAGATTTTTTTTTTTTTTGCAGTGCTAGGGATTGAAATCAAACCCTGTGCACACTAAGCAAGTGCTCTACCACTGGCGTACATCCTCGGCCCTGTGTTAGATATCTTGCTTTGATGTAATTTGCACTATTTAAAATTGTATAGCTAACTTAAATGACAGCATTTCCTGGGTAATGAAAGGATTTTACTGTATGTGAATGTTAAAAAGGAAATAAATATATTTTGTAGTTACTGGAGGACATTTTCTTTCCTATCTAGAGGCTTCTTCTGGCACAGAAGTGAGTCTCCTGGATTCTCTTCACAACCTCATTCATCCTTTCCAGAACTGGGAAACCTGGGAAGAAGAAATTCAGCGCTGTCCCCCCCACCCCCTACATATACACTGCTTCACCTCTCCATCCCCAAGAGCATGAGTTTACACTCTTCTCCAGGGTCACTGTTTTATGGGGCAGGCCACATGAAGGAAGGCCTTTGGAGGCCCCCACTGTCACTGAGTGGCTGGACAAATACAGAACTCTTCCAGGAGTATTCTTATTATCTTTATCTAAAAACTCGTGATATTTTGATCTTCTGTCTTCAAACTCTGGTCTTTTTTCCAGAGACAAATTTTTAACAAGTGCAGAACTTAGCGGGAGACGGGTGCTGTTCACTGAGCTTTTCTTCAATCTTCACTGACGTGCAGTAATAATAGCTAATTATCAACACTTGTTGAGTGCTTTCAAAGCCACTATATTACATGCTTTCAAAGCATTCTACTCATTTAACATAACTTCAAAGGAAGACTGAAGAAATTCTGTGATACAGATAGGGAGTTATGGTATTTTCAAAGTTGTCCATAGTTAATTCCTCCCTTCCCTGTATGCATACCCCTCCTTACACTAAGAAATGGGTTCTGTTCCCTACAACATGAATGTAGGCTGGCCTATGACCTGCATTTATAGCTTACAGGTATAAGAGGCCTGGAAGCTACCATTTCCTTTCTCTGATGAAGCCAAACCCTATACAATGAACCTGGACTGGACTCCTGAAGGACAGAGAAGACTTGGTGGGTTTAGTGATCTCTCATGCAGGAACATTCAAGTACTAGATATACGATTAAAGCCTTCTTGCACTGTCCCACCCAGTCAAACAGACATTTAGCCAAATGCAGCCAAATGAGTGACTTCATTCAACACCCTGTGGAACAGAAGAATCACCCAGCCAAGCCTTGCCCAAATTTCCAAACAAAGAAGTGTGAGAAATTACGAATCATTGTTTTAAGCTACTAAGTGTTGGGGTAAGACAATAGGTAGAAAAGAAATAAAACAAAACCTGCAGACATTCTTTAAAATGTAATCATTATTGTGGGATAACAAAAATGTTAAAAGGTACATAGATGATTTATTAAATCATGAAGCCATTACCTATGTGCACATAGTATACCTCTCCCATTTAAAACATGCTTTTATTTTAGGTGTCACAGCAAGATATCAGTTCTGCTCTTATTTAAAGAAATAAAAGCTTTTTGTAGAGTAATAAAGACTCTCTCCACTCACTGTAGAACTCTCATCATCACTTTGCCTCATATCTGATTATAATGCAGAACAGCTTCTATGCCCTGGCTCTATTTTTTCCTCTGGGGAGTCCTCTCAATTCCTCACCCTGACCCCCTGAGCTGGCTTATGGAACTCTCCTTGGTGAGCATTTAATGATCTGCTTGTACCTTGAGCATGGCAGTCATCACATGTATTGTGGTGTTCAGGCAAATCCAGAATAGCAGAGACCGGTTCTGTTCTGTTGACTACTGTCTTCTAAACGGCACTCTATGTGCAGTATGTGCTTTATGAACATTCACTGGTTGAAGGAGTGCATGCATCTGCTCCCCCCCGGGATACACACTGTTTCTTGGTGTTGAATATCCATTACTCCTTCTATCTTCTCTTGTAGTTTATGGTCTGAAAGCCTAGAAATTCCGAGACTTGCTTGTTACCAGGGTCCAAATACAACTCTAGTTCTGCTAAAAGATGCACTGGCATGTGACCTAGAGGGAAGGGAACCAAGAAGTTGTTCTGCCATTAGACATAGCATCTGACATGAAGGTTTCAGTAAATGTGGTTTGCAGACATTGCTAGTGACCCATTACCCAGGACCACTGGGATATTGGCAGTGACTCCAATAGCCTCCTGTCCTCTGGGTAGCAGCTTTGGCAATGTGACAGAATGCCTAATGGTGTCCTGACTTTTGGTCCTCTAACCTTAAAATGATTTTTGGAGACTTCTAGCTCCATGTAAGATCTAGAGTGCTTTCTGTTTTACTACTGAGTTCTAACTTACATGACTGATATAGATTGTATTCCTGGCATAAATATACCTGCATGATATCTGGATATTAGTGGAAAATAATAAACAGAATGATAAAAATAGCAATATCATATGGCAGCGCTGTTCTAAGTGCTTTACCTATATTTGCCTATTTAATCTACTAAATAACGCTGTGGGGTGACTATTGCTATTGTCTTCTTTTGCAAGTTAAGAAACTGAGAACAAGGAAGTTAAGCAGCCTGCTCAAGAAATCCTGATTTAAATAGTGGACTGAAAATCCAAAGCCAGGAAGCATGGTTCCCATGTCTACTTTGATCTAATGATTTCTTCTGTCCAAGTATCTGGTTAGGGACTTAGAAGACACAACTACTACAGTTTTAGGACTCATTTATTACGAATGTCCCATATATGCTTATAAAATAGCAACTTAGTATATTATCCTTTAAGACTCTTAATTTTTTTCAGACATTCTTGAGGGTATCAAGAGGCTGCAAGTTTGTACAGATGTATACATGTTTCCTGCCATGTTTTTTTTCCCAATTACTCATAAAGATGGTGAAACACAAAGATGTCATGAAAATGATTAGGATAGTAGAAAGGTAAGGAATATGGATAGGTTACACATGAATTTCTTGATGCAGATCTTTCTGGTTGTTATTTGGAAATGCAAGCTAAAGCAAATGGCCACTGGTTGCAGCCACTGAACCCATGTAGCTTCCATAAAAATGGAGAATAAGCTTTCCTATCAAGATCCCAAAGACATGGAGAAAAGTCTGGAAAGATGCAAACTTATGCTGACAAAGGAAATCAAAGTGGGAGTGGTCTAAACATCTGGTCACCAGAGATGACCAGTGCAGAAATCTAAGTGAGCAAGAAAATGCACAAATATAAATGCTAGGGAATCTTTTTCTCCTTTCCAGATGATATTTTACACACACACACACACACACACACACACACACACAGACACACACACAGAGTAGTGCGCTCTGGACCAGCAATGCTATCATTTAGTCCTCGTAGGAGAAGTGTCCTCATCTGATGATTTCAGTTGGAAGGAAAATCTAAGCACAATAGCCAGCTCCTTCTTTCTCTCTCACAAGTAAATGTGCTATTCTTTATGTCTCATGTCTTCAGTTTTAAAACAGTCAACTCTGTCCTTGGGCAAGGGGCAGATGGTTTGTCTCCCATCCATTACCAACAGTGTCTGAAAGGGTAACTGTGTAATTCTTGGTTCAATATTGAGAAACTCACTTGCATAGTTTAAACCACATTCTCCAGTAAAGGTCCAAATTTCTTACCTGCATGCCAAAAATCCCCAAATCTTTGAGAAGTAAAACCTGAAGTGACTTGTGTCATTGGTAAGCAAACCTGACCTTACCTGATATGAAACTACTTAAAATCTTCATCCACTTAGAGCTTTGCTGTCTGATAAAATACCCAGTGGCCTCAGTTACTATGTAAATTTAAACCCATTAAAATTAAACAAAATTCAGAATTCAGATTCTCAATCATACTAGTCAATGCTCAATAGCCAGTCACATGTGACTAGTGCTCCCACACCAGATAAAGTCTTTTCTAGCATGACTGAAAGTTCTGCCTAATATCTACAATAGGGAAGCCATGTATCCTTACAGACATATATGTGATATGGAGTGTTAACCAAGACCTTACATATTAAATAGAATATAAGCATTTTGTCAAAATTCTGAAAAAGAGAGAGGAGAGGAAAAGAAAGGGAGATAGGGAATTCCCAACTCATGTGTAGCCCATTCATAGATACGGACTGTGGACTTATATCAGCTTTTTATCAGTAACAAGGGCAATATTTTTATCTTTCTTCTTCATTAAAACTTTATTTACCTTACTCTAAATTGTTTCAGAATAGTCATGAAAAAGGGGCCCCTCAAATTTTAATAACAGGGAGAGAATCAACCAGGATTCTCTCTTCCTCATATATGTGGACCCTTGAGGCTAATCACAGGGGAGAACTTTATATGTGATTTAAAATCACAGTTCCAAGGAGATGTAAGTGTTGTTCTAGAAGAGAGGGACAGTAACAAAAGGAATAGGAAACTTTCAAGGATTAATAAAGATGCCACTGATAGATTTTCTATGTTGGGTGGGATCCTGCCCATCCACTTAAGCAAATCCCTCACACAGGCCCGTCTCTCATGTCTTCCATGTGGTAAGACTTGTTAAAAGTAGACTCTTTGCTCAGGAATAAGTTCACTAGAGTTCAGCACGTTCTGAGATTTACTTGCATGCCTCCGTGGCTACCCTTCAGTAGGAGCAAGTGGGCCAGGGTGGTCATAACTTCCCGTTACAGCCGTGCATACTCTTGAAGCCTGACAACCAGAAGATGCTGGGCAGCACTAATCTGCCACATCTGGCTTACTCTCTTGTTCAGGTAGGTGTGCAATATTTATAGGATCTGGCAGGTGTATAGACTGGCCAAAGAACACTAAGACAGGTGTTTTAAGTGTCCTACAGGTTCTAACCTGTTTTACTCTGCTATATGAATTCAGGCAAGTAGCTTAACTGAATGTAGCCTTAGTTTTCTCATCTGTAGAATAGGGAGAAACAGCCCTTGGTTCACAACCTGTAAGGGTTCTTTGATGATGGAAATCAAAACTAAAATATTGAAATTGCTAACATATAGGAAATTAATCTTCCATTCTGAAGTACTACCTTCATTATGTGTGGGAAAATTACATACAAGTCTTATAAAGACATATCTATTAAAAACAACAATCTAAGCTAGTGGCTTGCTGGATTCTCAAAGTATTATTATGGCTTCAACACAAAGCAGCTTTTATTTAGAACATAAATTGGATTTCCGCTTGTAAAGAAAGCATGAGATAATGTCCTTTATCTTAATTTGACAGTGGAGAGGCTTTTCAGTATTGGCCAAGAATCTAATATTGAATCGTACCAAAACACAACCATTTGCTTTCTAAATTGCATCCATAGAGATGCAGCAGTAAAGTGCTGCCATGGACAGAGCTTTTACCAAGATTTTAAGGCTTCATGATCAGATCATTAAAAATGCCCGTCTCTTTTTGTAAATGTCACAATGTGCCCCCAGTGCAATTGTATAATAAAGAAAAGTTAAATGTATAAAACTGCCCAGCTCTGTCTTCTTTCAATATTTTGGCTCTTCAATTCGAATAAAATGTGAGGTCCTGCCTCCACTCAAACTTCCCAGGTAAGCTTCATATTCCTAGTCTTTTAAGATCAGGATGGAAGCTATAAACACTATCCATCAAAAACAGTGACCACATAGAATGACTGGCGCCTCCTTCCGGTTGGCTTTCTGAGGTTTTTAAAGCTTTTATTTCAAGAAAGTAGGGAATCTGAAAAATGATTTGAACAGGTAGGTATAAGAAAAAAAAGACATTAACCTTGAATATTAATTCAATATTAAACTGACAGCATAAATTCATTATCACTTAATCCTAGAAAATACATAGCTAATGCAAGAAACAAATTAACTACTGATGATATTAACAGAATTGCACTGTGCTGTAGACGCAGTTTGTTTAAAGAAGAAGACAGTGTTTTAGCTGGCTTTGCATCAGGAGATTTAAACACTTCATGACATTTTTAACAGCTCCAGTTAATTGAAAATTTCAAAATGAAACATTCTCTGACATAATTCTCTCCAACACTTAAAACAGTGCTAAAGCATTAAAGAAAAACGTGAAACTTAATTTGGAGATTTCTTTAAGTTAGGCTGCAATCTTCATGGTTGTTTAATTCAGATTTAGGTAAAAAAAAAAATCCTGCAACACATATTGAGATAGAGTGCACTATCTCGTCCTAAAAATTTCCTTAATTAAATTCTGGGAAAGTGAGTTGTAAGCTGATAAAAGGATTGTTATGTTTTCCTTCAACACATATGGTCCTTCTAATGTAAATTAGCACATGTTACTTTTTGGTTCTGTTCCCATTCCTTTGTCAGGTAAGAACTTTACCTGAAATTTCCAACAGTACCCTGTTTTGGGAAGTGATAATTTTCTAGAAAGTTGCTTTTGTTGGTTCTCTCTGAAAGAGAGCTTTGGGCTTTCAAATCAGGATTCCATGCAATGATTAATTGAATGAAAACCTTCCTATTTTTATTAGACTCAATGCTTGTTAGAGCATAGAAAAACGCTAATTTTCGAATCTCTCATATCTGACTTTGCCAAAATCTCCCCTTATAAACTTTTTTTTTCTTAGACCAATTCTTGCAGTTTTATCCGTTCCCAGCCAAATGCATCCTCCTTCCCCCACCCCGCCACTGGGAATGAAAGATGACACTAAAGACTGAGAACTGAAAGGTAGGGATGAACAAAGATCTCCCTCTGTACTTGGCCACTGCGACTGTGACGGGAAGGAATCAACAAGTTCTCACTGAGCGCCTACCAGGAGGTTGGCTTTGAGCGGAAACTCCGGTGAGTAGGCCAAGTTCTACAGTGAGGAGGTCAGCTCACCCTGAGTTCCACCTGGAATCCAGCGCTGGGCCAGCCTGTCCCGGGACCCCACAGCGCAGTGTTCCCTCTACCTCCACGACTTCCGTTCACAACTGTCTGCGGGTCCCCCCCACCCGACGCAGAGGTTACCATCCTACCCGCAGGAGGCGAGTTTCAAGAAACCCCAAGTTCACCTCGCCTCAGCCAGAAGTGGCAAAGGACGGAGCCCCCATTTCAGGAGCCCGCTGCAGGGCCCGGAACGAAAGGAGGTACTATGATAAGCTGGGAGAAAAAACCACAAAAGGAAAGGGAAAGGGGGTGGTGGTGGTAGTGGTGCCATAAGCAGAATTCCGGCTAACCTATCCGCCGTCTCTTAGCTAGCTAGACCCGGGGAAGAAGATGGATGTCCTAGGAGAAGTCACCAGGCGAGCGGACCCGGGAAGAATAAAAGTGATTGGAATTAAATTCCCACGCACCCAGGGCGGTCGCAGCTTTAGCTGGAACAAGGGAGCGCAGGGGACGCAGGGTGCACCGTGCTGGGCAGCGGCACGGTCTTGGGCTCCCTCCGCGTGGACTGACAGAAGGATGAATAGAAGGACAGACAAACCCGAGCCAGAAACTTACCTTCAGGGTTGGCGCTGATGAAGACCCGGACACTGCGACCGGCGGGCACCAAGTGAGAAGGCAGGGCCGTGAGGTTCCCGGAGAAAGCCGCCCGCCGGAGCGCGGAGTCCCGGGGACAGGGCAGCTTGGTGCCTGCGCCGGCCGGCCACATCGCCCTCTGGAAGAGACAGCTGCCGCCGCCGCCACCTCCTCCGCTCCTGGGGTCCCCGCCCGCGGTTTGGCGGACCTGGAACTGTTAAGTCGATGTCCGCAGGCGGTACAACTCAGAGCCGTTCTGAGCCCAAGGCGCTTTGGGCGAGCTCGGTGGCGCACACCACCCGCTCAGGGGGAGCAGCCATATAAACCCCGGGGCCCCGGTCCCCGCCGCCTCCTGCCCCTCTGGGTGACTTCCTTCGCTCGCTGCCAGGGCTCAGCACAGCAGCGGGCAGGAGCGGGAGGTCAGCGTGGCAGCGGCTACGCGCGCGGCGCCCGTTTGCGCCGAAAAGAGCCCGATCGGGTGGCTGAGCCAGCCGCCATCTCCACGCCCGCGCCCTCCGTGGGTGGAGGGGGCCGCCAGGCGGCGGCGACTGAGCGGATGAAGAGGGCAGATCAAACTTTTAGAGAAGGCGTCCCGACTTAGAAGGGACCCGCCTGCCGCGCAGCGCAGAAATAACCGCAGCTTAACAAGCGGCTGGGGTTCCGCTGCGGGGGTCTCTTGGCTGCTCAGTGGCCTCCCGGGTACCTCTAAAGACAAGCCTGAATGCTCTTGGCTGCCTCCTTGTTGGAGGACAAGAAATCGATCAGCCCGACGTTCCAGCTATTCCCTCTCCAACTCTCCTAAAGGTCAAACAAGCCCGAGCTTCTTCAGCAATCCACGCGTGCGGGCGTCTGCGCGCCTTTGCCGAAGTGCGGAGAATCCGGCCTCAAAGTTCGATGCACGCACAGGAGAGGCAACCCCGGGGGCTCTGAGCCTCAGATCTGCGAAGCGCTTGGGGGTTCTGGGGGGAGGGTCACGGATGCCCTGCCTCAACAGGCGCAGGTGGCGGCGTCTTGCAGCTGCGCTGGCACCCCACGCTCATCCGAGCGGGGGATTTTATAGCCAAGCCGCAACGCTCACGTGCTCCTCACCGCGTGGTGGATGGAGGACCCTTTCTGGGAGAGAATCTCCGCGGGGAGCACTTCCGAGACTTCTGTGGCTCCCAGGAATCCTTCCTGCTCCCGCTGAGACACATTCCCAGGCTGTTCCGCCTTCCTGGGGGCTCCTGGGCCTCTCGGCCTCAAGGATGCCGGGATGCCATCTAGGGCCAGTGCCAGTCCTGAGGGCGGCATCCGCCCTTCACTCCCCGACCCCGCCGCCTCGCGTAGCGTCCACCAAAGTGCAAGTTGCTGCGGCTCATGGACAGGATTTTCTTAACCTGAGTTGGCCTGGGGCCATGGTGTTTGTTTGAGCTTCAGCTGCTTTTCCAAGTAGGTGTAAGCCTGGGATCAACTGCACCTGAGGCTGATGCAGCCAACATGGGACCGTACTACCTCGAGTCGGGTCAGGGCTCCAGGTGGACAGCGAAACAGACTGGTCCACGTCCCATGTGATGTGAAATACAGAGGCGTTCACGCGTAAAATTGCGCTCCTCTGTGCCCAACGAAATCCTGTACAATCCAGCAGAAGGAAAATCTTGTAAAATCAAGGTGTGTGTGTTGGGGGATTGTGGACAAGGTAGTATTTGGAGCCTCAATTGGAGTTTGGCCTCCAAATCCCTCATTCTGAGCTTTTGGATAGTAGCACCCATGTGTTCGACAGGAGAACAGGGTTTCTGAATCTTCAAGACTGTGGAAAGGGTGGGCGGGTACAGGGTGAAGGTCTCTCAGCGGCATGTTTTCTCCTGTCACCTAAGGGCTCCTGTTCTGGGCAGTCTCTGCCATTCTCCCGGCCGGCCTGCACTTCCTCTGGGCCCTGCTGGTGGCAGTGAAGTCCTATGCACTGCTGTTTATGTAGTTAGCGTACCCCACACCCAACACTCGTTCTGAGGTAACCTCTTTGGAAGAAATGGGTCTCTAGGTTTTTAAGGCTGTCTCTCCACTCCTGAGAACCTGGGGGCAGACAGCAATTCTTACTTTGTGATAATATAATGCAGCCAGAGAGAAGCTTTGAGTATCCCCAGCTATTCGTTCAATTGACTCACTGTAGCAAATTATTTGGTGTACCTCTCCAGACTCAGTGTTCCTAGATGGGAGCATTCTTCAGCAGGATTTGGACCCAGAGGGCCCCTGATATCCCTTTAATAAGTGCTGAGAGCTCTGGTGTGGGTTATGAACCTATAGTAACTGTATAAGTGTCAGCCCTTATGAACATATACTATCTGTTACAGAGGAAAGGAGCCAGGAGCACATTATAAAAGAAGATAAAAAGTGGCCAGATTCCCTCCAGGACCTGCCTGGGTTCCTTCCCCCATCCTAACTTACTTTTCTTTTCTTGAAAATGGGATTCAGATTTGTGTCTTCTGTCCTTTGCTTCTGATCTCAAAGCATTGCATTTTCTTTGGATGACTTTGGGATTTTTGGCAGCCTCAATAACCTAATTAACTGTTCTAGACAGGCCAGAGTTTAGCATCTGCCAGAGTCACTGCAGACCAAGGCCGCAGAGGAGAGATTTCACATTGTCTGTGGGGCAGTGCTTTAAGAGGCCTGTCTGCACACCCAGCCTTACACAGGTGGAGCAGGCTGATGTCTTTGGAGTATCAGGGAGATATCTGCAGAAGGATACCTGATCACCCATCTCCCCCCTGCACACACATACATATATCCACACACTCATGCACACACAAATCTTCCCTCACATTCTTCTACCCTGTCTCTTGTTAGCTTCCTAAAAGCAGAGACTCATTTTTAGCATGCAAATGTCATAAGACTTTACTACAAATCTCCATAATTCCCCAACTTGAGGAATCAGTTGATTGACTGATCATCAATTGATAGACCACTAGACAAATAGAAAGGAGACAGGTGATTGTGTAAGGCAGTCCCTGACTTTAGAGTCTACTTTATTTTTATATCTCTTTAAGACATTTCAAACATTTTCTCCTCTTCAGTAAATATTGGAAGTATTTCACACATGAGAAAACCAAGATTTGAAAAAAATCAAGTGCCTAATATAACTAATTAGTAGAGCCAGCTCCAGGTATAATACCTCTGTCCTAGTGCTCTTTACAACATAATAACTCCATTTTCTAATTTTTCATATCTGGACATCTTCAAGAACCTGGACAGTGGCTGCTCACACCTGTGCTTACAGATATGGAAGGCTGGTTTTCACTCCTGCTTTCTAGATGGGAAAGAAGGACAATGTCTACATGGTCACACAGGACTACATTCTTCTGAATTTCTTGTTTCTTTCTGTTGTTTTCTTATGAGAACAAAGGGAAATCAATACCATCTCAGAAGTGGGCTGGATAATTTAAAGCATCTAGAAATAGGAAGACAAAAGCACATAAAAAAATGGACCTGGGACCAAGCTTGTGATCATTCCTCTGCATTCTAGAGGACTGCAGAGAGTTGTTTTACCTTTATGAAACAATGGCCCCAGCCCTTGATCAAACAGGGTTGTGTAAAGGTAAGATTACTGCTTGGTTCATTGTACTCGCTGACCTAGAGGGAGCCTTGCTCCATTCCCCACTGATAGATAAGTAATGTCCATCCCACGAATTGTAATTTTTAAGCAAGATGAAGGAAAACTAATCACTAGTGATATTCCTATACTGAACACTCCTGTATGCTATGACACTGTATTTGGATTTATAAGGTATCTCAATCAATTTCACTGCATCCAGGGTCTGGGCCCAGCACCTCCTATCTCCCAGGATGGTATCCCTTCTTAGACACCGTTGTCCCTTGTACACCATTTTTATGTATGTATATATGTATGTACATATATCTTGTGATATATGTACATTTTGCTTGATATATCCCAAGGTATGCGAATATACCTCACCTACTTCCTTTGTCGTGACTGCTGGTGGTTTTTCACCTAGCTATGGTCTGTGTCACATGTCCAGTTCCTCTTGCTGTGTGATAAGGATGACCATGGAAATGTACACAACCAGAGCATATATGAGTGATTCTGACCCAGCAGAAGCAAGACTCATCACTCAATCTGTATCATCCTGCACAATCTGTATTTACCTGGATCACTGTTCTGTATTTGGACTATTACAGGTGGGACAGTTTAAAAATTGAGCCCTAGTGATGAAAAAGCCAACTGCAACACTGTACCACCCTGTGTCAGAGAGTCAAGCCAATGATGTGCTGTTTGTGTTTCCAAATCTGAGGAAGAATATCAGACATAATATTACATTCATGCTCTCAGTGGCTCTCTGCTTTGGTGATAAATATTTGAATCTGCTTTGCTAATGTGAGAAATGAATAATGCATGGTCACTCGAGCCAAGACTCCACTTCCCAGTGTTCCAGCTCAGGATGTGAGCTAGACCATCAAGAACCCACTTACTTGTTTACAAAATGGAAATTTTCAGTGAATGTGAGAATTTGTCAGCATAACAATTTGCCAACAGAGATGGCTGATTCAGAGGTGTCTGCAGCATGAGAGAATTCACGGCAGCGCAGTTTTAAATAAAGTTACACCTTTGTGGAAGCGCTATCTGATGTTTTCATGACTCAGAAATTCTAACTTTATATCCACCCCCTTCCAAATCTGTTTAATGTATTTTTTGATCAGTCTCCCTTTTACAAACTTCTAAACATATTGCAATGACAGCACTATGCATACCACATAAAATAACGTAAATTGTTTTAAAATAAACATTTATAGATTATTTCCTATTTCTAAATGTTTTATTTTCATTTTACGGTTGCCAAGTTTTTCCACCCTCATGACAATCTCAAATATGCACCTTAAAAAACCCCTCTTCTCTCCTATTTCATAATTTGACCCTTATTTGGAGAACTGCCTTTTACAAAGCCTTTCATATATGCTAGCTCATTTTGATTTTTAACCTGGGAGGCAGGTTCTTCATTACCTATTTCCTCTCTCATATTTTTATATGGAAAAGCAGCTCAAGAAAATTTAGTGATATATCGAAGTTCACTCAGAAGCTGGATAAATACCAAAAGTAGCCAACATTAAAAGACTGCTAAGCATCAAGCTATATATCAATTATATACCACATGGCCATCAACATGTAACAAGATCCATTTGGCCACATTGATAAAAACATTTGCATTTCTCAGTAAAGTTTATTCTGGTAGTTAGGCAAATCAAGCAAGGCCAGGTATAAAACACTCCTCTTGGGTGGCATTGTTAGCTACATTATTTATTAACATTGGCTTCTGTTTTATTTTGCATAAGGAAAATTACACATTTTTCAATTTCATTAACAACTCAGTTTTGGATATGAGTGTGTTGCTGTTCCCTTACTATATCAAACATTGAGATAATCAACATATAAAGGGAAAATGTTTATCTGACTTGCAGCTTTAGAGGTTTCAGTCCATGACTGACTGACCCTGTTGCTTTGGA